CAGCACCCCACAACACCCCACAATATCCCACAGCACCCGTAACACCCACAGCACCCACAACACCCACAGCACCCACAGCTTCCACAACACCTACAGATCCCACAGCATCCACAGCACCCCACAACACCCACAGCACCCCACAACACCCACAGCCCCCCACAACACCCACAGCTCCCACAACACCCACAGCACCTACAACACCCCACAACACCCCCAACACCCACAACCCCCCCAGCGGGTGCCGGGTGCGGGTCCCACTCACCACCCAGAGGCGGGTGCTGCGGCTCATGTGCCCGTGGGGCTCGAACATCCAGCCGTGGTAGGAGAGCAGGAGCCGGAGCAGCCTCCGGAAGAGCAGCACGGCCGCCAGCCAGGCCCCCGTGGAGAACAGCACCGTGCTGACCACCGTGCGGGCCTGGGGGGTCAGCACCTCGCTGGGGACACGGGGGGACATGGTATGAGGGGGGGGGGACAGGAGGGACAGGGATTTGGGGTCTCCTGGGCGTCCCGGCTGTGGCAGTAGGGGCAGAGGGTCCTGTGCCCTGTCATTGTCATCATCCCCTGTTTCTGGACCCTGTCCCTTTCCCTGTCCCCTACTCTTGTCCCTGTCCCCATCCATGTCCCTGTCCCCTATCCCATGTTCCCTCTCACTGTCTCCTGTCCCTGCTCCCTATCACCATCCCTCTCCCCTGTCCCCTCTCCCTGTCCCTTTTCCTGTCCCTATCCCTCTTCCTCTCCCCTCTCCTTTCCACCTGTCCTTGTCCTATCCCCTGTCCTTATCCCCATCCCTGTCCCTGTCACTATCCCTGTCCCTGTTCTCTATCCCTGCCCTTGTTCCATGTCCCTGTCTCTCTCCCTATCCCCTGTCCTTGTCCCTATCCCCATCCCCAAGTGAGGCTGTGTGTAGGGTGGGACCCCTTAGGGGATGTCCCCAAGTGGGGCTGTGTGTAGGGTGGGACCCCCCCAAGGGATATCCCAGGCCCCCCTGGCCATGCTGGGGTTTGGGATCCCTCTGAGGGATGGTGCAGGTGGGGCTGTGCCCATGGGGTGGCACCTCTTGAGGGACACCCCCCAAAATGGGGCTGATCCCATGGGGTTGGACCCCTTGGGAGATGTCCAGTGGGGACGTGTGGGGTGGGTCCCCTGGGGGATGTCCCCGGGTGGGGGGACCCTCTGAGGGCCATCCCCAAATGGGGCTGTGCCCTGAGATGGGACTCCCAGGGGAATGTACCCAAATGGGGCTGTTCCCATGGGATGGGACCCCTGGGGGACATCCCCAAATAGAGCCACGCCCATGGAGCAGGGATGTGCAGGGTGGGACCCCCCAGGGATATCACAGGTCCCCCTGGCCGTGCTGGGGGTTGGGGTCCCTCCACAGGAGGTGGCCGGTGGCCCATCCCCGTGGCCGGTGGCCCATCCCCATGGCCGGTGGCCCATCCCCGTGGCCGGTGGCCCACCCCCGTCCCGCCCCCTCACCTGTGGGGGAGGCAGTGGCGGATGCGGGCGATGAGCCCCAGGGACGGGTCCACCTGGCAGTAGCAGGAGCCGGCGGTGGCCAGGACCACCACCATCCAGCTGGAGGGGGACGCGGGGTACACGCCGGTCAGGAAGCTGTTCTGTGGGCACAGGGGGGGTCAGGCAGCTGGCGGGGGGGGGGGCGGGGGGGGCAGAGAGGGGCCGAGCCCACCTTGGCGCGGACCAGGCGCTTCTTCCAGGAGGAGACGCCGGCGAGGTAGAGCTGCCGCACGGCCTCGCGGCTCAGGTGGAAGTCCAAGCCCTCGGGGGTGACCGTGAACTGGAAGGCCACGGCCTGGTGGGCCTCCGCCATCCTGGGGGGGGGGCTGCTGGCACCTGCGGCGGGACACGGGGGGCGATGGGCACGGGGATGGGGCAGCAACACACTGCCCGGGGGAGGGGGACGGGGGACGCCGGGATGGGGTGGGGGACCCCCCCTGGCACGGTGCCACACACGGGGAGGTCAGCGGGTGCCCCCCCCCCCCCAGGGTCGGGGGTCCCCGCGGCGGTGCCCGGGCTCCCCCCCCGGGTGTCACCCCGGCGGGAGCCCCCCAGCCCGTGGCACGGCGGCATCACGCGGCGCTGGCCCCGAGCCCACTGAGCCAAGGGTGAGAGCCAGCACCGTCGGGGCGGGGGGGGGGACGGACAGCGCCGAGCACACACCCCCGGAGCTCCGGGGCAGCTGCCGGGGCCCTCTGCCCGCCGCCAAACCCGCGCCTGTCCCCGCACGTGGCACGCGGTGTCCCCTGGCCTGGCACAGGGCACGGTCCGTCCCCACGTCCCCGCGGGAACGCTGCCCGCGGGATGAGCAGAGAATCCCCCCCGCGGGCACAGCTGGGGGGCCCTGGGGACCCTCCCCTCTCCGAGGGTGCCGTGAAGCCCCTGTGTCACCACGGGGACGGGCAGGAATCCCACCGCTGTGGGATCTCTGGGGAACCCCCTTCGGAGGTGCCACAAAGTCACTGTGGGGCTGGGATCTCACTGGGGGGCCAAGGGACCTTGGGGACCCTCCCTCCCAGGGGTGCCACAAAGTCACTGCGTCATCACGGGACCGGAATCCCGCCGGTGTTGGCACAGCCGGGTCCTCGGGGACCCTCCCCCGGGGGGTGCCACACAGTCACTGTGTCACCGCGGCTCCGGGATCCCCCTGGTGTTGGCAAAGCCGGTGCCAAGCCTGAGGGCTGCCGTGGCCGCGAGGGCTGCTGGAGCCCCGGCCTCGGGGGTTTGAGGAGGGGGGGGCGACCCCTCCCAGCACGAGGGAGCTCAGGGGTCCCTTTCCCACGCGTGTCCTTGAGCTGAAGGCAACGGCTGCAGCTCAGCAGGAACCTGCTCACACTGGCACCACTGTGCCCAGAGTGCCCTATGGCTGCACCCCAGTGCACCCCATGGCACCAAACTGCACCCCACGGCACCAAACTTCACCCCACTGTGCCCCACTGCACCACATGGCCTGGCCTGGCACGGCATTGCATGGCCTGGCATGGCATTGCCCAGCACACCAAGGGTCGCACAACAAGCCCTGTCCCCACGCCCTGCAGGGCACCCCGTGCCCCACTCCGTGCCCCACCCCGTGCCCCACTCTGTGCCATCCCCCCGCGCTGCACGGCAACAGCACCGCCCGTGTGGCACCGCCCAGCCCGGCACGGCACGGCACGGCCCGGCCTGGCACTGCCCCTCCCGACACGCGGGCCGTGCCCCCCGCGGGTGGGGACGAGCCCCCCGCGGACCCTCCCCCCCCGGTGCCCCCCCCCTCCGCCCGCCCCACCCAAGGTCACCGGGGCGCGGGGGGGTCGGGACGCGCAGCCCCCTCGGCCCCACCGGGGGCGGCCCCGCCGCGCCCCCCGCCCGCCCCACGGAGTCCACGCGTGGGGCCGGGCCCCGCTCCGGAGTAGCGCTGGGGGTGGTCCACGCCGGGACCCCCCCGCGTGGAATCCTGAGCGGGACCCCCAGGCGGGACCCGCAGCCGCGCCGCGGGGCGGGGGGCGCGGGGGTCGCTCCCCACGGACACGGGTGGGCCCCGACGCCGGGCGCGACGCGACGGGGCGGGGATTCCCCGGGGGCCAGGGGTGTTCCCACCGCTCCCTGCACTTCTCCCTCCCCGTGGGGGGATCCCCCACGCGTGGTACCCGTGCGTGCCCTCACCTCCGGTGCCCGGTACCTGCGTGGGCGCGGGGGGGCGGCGGTTCCGCGGGACGGCGGCTCCTGCGGCCCCGGGACCCGGGACCGGTAACCGGACACCGGCGGCGGGCGGGACCCGCTGCCCGGCCCCCAGTGGCAGCGGAGCCGCTCCGCCCCCGGGGGGAACCGGGATCCCGGGGGGGACCCCGACAGCGCGGGATAGGGACCCGCACCCACGGGACAGGGACCCACAGCCCCAGGACAGGGACCCACATCCCGGGCAGGGACATGTATCCCGGGACAGGGACCGGCACCCACGGGACAGGGACCCACAGCCCGGGCAGGGACGCGTATCCCGGGATAGGGACCGGCACCCACGGGACAGGGACCCCCGGAGCCCCAGGACAGGGACCCACAGCTCGGGCAGGGACGCGTATCCCGGGACAGGGACCGGCATCCCATGGCGGGACCCACATCCCGGGACGGGTCTGGCATTCCGGGACAGGGATCAACCCCTCGGGAGCGGGACCGGCATCCCATGGCGGGACCCACATCCCGGGGAGGACACTCATATCCCGGGACAGGGAGCGGCACCGCCAGGGCGGGAGCGACATCGGGAGTGACATCCCGGTGGAGGATCGGTACCCCGGGCTGGGGACGGACATCCCGGGGGGACCGGCGCTCCCGGGACAGGGACCTGCACCCTCGGTAAGGTCCCCGACGGGATCCGGGAGCTTCGGGGGTCCCTGCCCGGGGCAGGGCAGGAGGGAACCGCTGCCACCGCGCCCAACCCCTGCCCGTCACCTGCCTGTCCCGTGGCTGTCACCTGCCTGTCACCTGCCCGGTGCCCTGCCCGTCCCCTGCCCGCTCGGCCGGACCAGCCCGGTGGCAGCTGCCCGCACCCTGGAGGGGTCACCAACCCCCCCGGGACCCCCGGCTGGGCCCCCCCAAGCTCCGGGTGAAGGTCTCAGGCCGGGGCTCGGTGGGAGGGACCCCCAGGCAGGGAGGAGACCCCGAGAGCCGGTGCGTGGGGAAAGGGGGGGCTGGGCCGGCCCCGAGGGGGTGCGCCAGGACCTGGGCCCCCCCCCCGCAGCCCCCCCTTGTGTCCCTGGCCCCCCAGGCACCCCCCCCCGCCCCAGAAGCCGCCCTCACCCCCAGAAACCCACGGGACCCCTTCCCTCCAACCACCGGAGATGGGGCTGGGGAGGGGTTGCTGGAAAAGGGAGGGATTTGGGAAGGGGCTGGATTTGAGGAAGGGGGGGGAATGAGGAGGTGAGAGCAGGAGCCGGCACCGCTGAGGGTTTATTGGTCAGATTTACATTCTGCTGTCGGGGCGGGGGGGCCGGGGCAGCCCCCCCCCGGCCTCAGGGCTCTCCGGGGAGGGGGCGTGGGAGGGGAGGAATGAGGTACAAACAAGGGGTCCCCCCC